AGTCGATATGCTCCGTGATGTGCATGTGATGTGACCGGCTGTCATGACGTCATGATCGTATACGATAGGGATAAGTTTAGCTGCATTCCCGAATCGCGAACAAACTGTATGCGCTAACCAATCACAGACAAGAATTGAACTGTCATTTGTCAGTTTTGTATTTTGTTTCGTTTTTGCATTAAGGATACTGTTATTAATAACCAGAAAATCCTCGAACAATTCCATGTTTTATTTCACAGAAAATAAGTGAATTTATAGGTTAGGGCACTGAATAACCTCTATAGCAAAACAGCTGCAAGATCCGTCCTGTAGCTGGAACTGCGCATGACTTTCACGCAACGAGTGGTCTAGGTCTAGACCAGTCGTTGCGTTCGATCAACTTTTCGCTCGATGTGGTAGGTTCGATCAACTTATCGCTCGATATGATAGGTTAGAGAATGCAGTGACATTCACGTTCACATCAAGGTCAGTCGATGTGAACAAAGCACATCTTCGGGAATCGACGCCCAGGATTGCGTTCAGTGGCGATGCACATAACGTAAATATTAGGTCAAAAAATGTTTTGAGACCACCTAGATACTACACTACTATCTTCCAAAGATCGTTTACGTACAACGTCTTTAAATTGCATAACTCCCTTGCGTATGAACTGAAAAACTGTACAGTAAAACAGTTTAATAATCGTTTTAAAAAGATATTATATCTGAGTCAGTTATGATTTAGTTAGCTCCTAGTATCACTTTCATACCATAATCATTTCATATCATTTTTCTTTTTTATTTATTTATTTTTTTATTTCTCTTAGTTTGGTTTTGATTTCATGATTTTCTCATTCAAATTTACCCAATTTTTTGCTTTAGTTGGTATGAACTGCTTATCTGTTGCCATTACAGTTCTAAAAATCTAATGAGAAGGGGTTAAGTGGTAGAACAGACGGTAGTTTATTCTACGTGTCTGAACTTCGCCCCATTGGGTTGTACAAAAGTATAAGGGTAAATCTATATTAATTTTATTTTTAACCAATCTGTATCAACTCAATAAATGGCTATTATTATTATTATTATTGATTAATCAAAATTGAACATTTTTTTTAGGTACATTTAGCTGAAGAACGTCTAGCAGTGTTCCAGAGGATATAAAAAAACTGAAATAAAAAAAAATTCTTTTTTGAAATGCCTACGAGTAAAAAGAGTTGTCGTATGCCGCCGGATGTGCCAACTCAATTTTTCGTGTACGCAAATTAAGAGCGCCTGCAGTTATTAATGTAGGGTGGAACATGACAGTATGAAATAAAGGCAATTTACTACGTCAATTGATTCTCGTTCCTATTTTTATTGAATTTCAATTCGGCGTGTTCCGAATGCTCGAGTTGATTACAAATTTACCAAAATTGATTGATTGACGCTTGAATAATATATTAAGGTCTCATGTCCTTTCATTTTTCGGGTTAGAATTGAATTACCACCGTATTGATCCGTAAACATTTACGTGTCCCGTGACGTATTTAATATAAATAATTAGCGCGAATATTAATAATGTCGAATCACGCCGTTTTTCGGTACGATCGATGCCAAATGTCGCGATTATTTATGGTTATTTGACGAATTCGGATTTCGCATTTCAGTTTGCGAAATTCACGTCAGATCGTTTTGTTATTATAGTAGGTACTTGCCAAACTATAAATCACTTATACTGCACTTAATTTTATTAAGTGGGGGGTTTATATTTACTGGAAGGTTTCCAAATCAAAATTTATGACGTTCCGCTGCTTTGAAGATTGATTTAATTAAATTAATTCATTGCAGCTGCACCGAGTGTTGCTTTTTTTCGTAACTTGTTACGCTAGTTTCCCGCCTATTCCAACTGGTAACCGTAAAGGGGTACGTGGAATTACCGAAACAGCAGTTTATGCAGTGTCCCGGATTAAAAGTCGTGTTCCTGTGTCAAAAAATTCCCTTATTTACTAAAACTCGTATGCGACTCTTAAAGAGAATATCATAAGAATATGATCCGAGTCTAGGGAAACGATTTTCTTTGCGGTACAGAGAAGAGCATCTCATAATCCTTTCCCAAAAAACCAGTCAAATGGTTCTAAAGGTGGTTAATCATTTCCATCTTTCGCCGAGTCAAAGGTTTTCACGGGACGAATTTATTTCACTAAGAAATGTAACCTTATATTCCTATTAAAAATACTGAATTTGCAACCGCTCACCACAATATTGATCCCAAAAGTAATTAAAGAACAAAAAGCCCATTGAAAATTGGATATGTAGACGTAGGACATATTTAGTTGACTACAATCAACCAGATAAATTTTTCATCAACACACTACTGACATTTGACATTTTTCACGGCTTTAAAAATTCGAATTTTACTTATTTCTGCGGGAAAAATTCAAAAAATTTAAATCCTAACTTCGTTACATTATGCTGACAGACAAGGGGAAGGGGCGTCAGTCCAAAGGACTTTCTGAAGCGAAAGAGCGGAGAAAAAGGAAGGTTAAACACTGCCTTTTTTTTGGCCCCAAAAAAAAATTGTCTCAGACCGATCGGGAAAAGACATTTTCTTATAGAATTTGGCCTGTAGAATCATAATTTCAAACAGTTCCAAGATTGGGCTGGGCTACCAGATCAAAAGATACAGCCCTTTGAATTTTCTTACGAAATTTGTTTCTAGTCTATAACTTTTTTTTGAGAAGTCTAATCGAAAAAGTACGAATCGTTTTGAATTCTACGCATCAAAATTAATAAGAAAAATTATAAACGATCTCTAGGGTCGTTAATAAACGGCAAAAGTGTAAAATTATGGAACATGTAAAAAAACGGTTTTTTGTAAGCGGTACAGAAAAAATTCCTTCCTTGGTACAAGACTCGACAACATAACGAACCAAATAGCGAAAAAAGTAGAACAATAGCTCTTAAGATAAAAAACTAGTAGCGTCTCAAAACGAGCGGACGGACGGACGGACAAAGTGGCCACAATAGCGCATTTTTTTTATTGTGGAAATGCGCTAAAAAATAAGTATAAGTCGAAGTGAAAGCTTAAAAAGCACATCTTATCGTCTAAGTTTGTAACTGGGCACTTTCGAAATAGAATTCAGAATTTCTGAGCGACACAACGGAATTAAATTTTTGTAACTTGCACATTCCGATTTAGAACTCGGAATTTATGAAATAGATGCTCCATTTTCCAAATTTTTAACTCAAAAATTCAGAATTTCTAAGCTAGATATCGGATTTGCATTTGTCTGGGTCGTAATCTAAGGTCAGCGCTAAATTTGTGCTGGACTGGTGGCTATGAAATGCTGCTTATGGAACAGGGGGTTGTACAAATCAGAAAATGGAACAAAATCTACCACTTAGCAGTAAATAATTAGAACGTTTTACTCTATTTAGGTGCTTAACATATGGTGATGTATGCGGAACTGGCGCCACTTTGTTAAATACACCCCGGTGCATTATACCATTTAAATGGAATATTATCTACTAATTCTTTCGATTATTTTGACTGCGACTAGTGTAAAGAGCTTTATTTTGTAGATAATTAGTACTTAATGGGTTCAATAATTTCTTAGACACTTACAACGCAAAGTGGATACTTACACACTCGTTCCAGACCCTGGCCACAGTTACGGGATAGCGCGTTAGAAAATCGTCGGGGAAACCATCCGATTTCTATCTGAAAAAAAGAGAAACGAGTACAATATTCCCGAACAATTCATACCCTTTCGTATTAATAAAGTCTCGTGCTGTCGATTTCGCTACCATCCTCACCATAACCGTAACGTACACCAGCGCATGTATTAAAAATTTACCACTCGCGACTCTTCCCATTGGCTTATCGCCGAAATTTATTTCCGGATAAACGCAATTTCGTAAAATGCGAAATTACCTCTCGAAGAAGATGACCTCGTCGTCCCTAAGTATTTAATCCCTAATATCTAAGTTAATGGAGTTCTTCCAGCTACTACATTATATAGGAACGCGAGCGGATTTATTAATTAAGGGATGAAATATGAAAAGATCGCAAAGATGAAGACGCGCGTAATTTCAATCTACAAAAATATTTAATTAAGTAATGGGTATTCTTTTGTTATTTTAAGTACAAAAGGAGCATGTCGATTACGGAGTTGTTCGCGTTCTGAAAAGAGTACATAAATGAAAATGTGAGCTTTTGTCATTGGACGCATGTAACTCGCAAATGGCTAATTTTGCTCAAGCTCGATTTAATTACGAGAAAGTCGCTCACTTGTTACTTAAAATGTATAAAACTTCATTCAATTAACGACCAGTACTTCGGTTTGCGCCCCAACAAAAACTTCGCGCCCCACAAGCGAAAGCTTTGTTAAGAACATGTCTCGGAGGCGCGCGCGAAGTTTTTTAGTTCCGAACATAATTTACCGAGCCACAAAGTTTGATTACACTCTGCGAAATTTTGTTTAGCGGTATTCGTTGCAATGAATACCAATCGATTTTTTTCTAAAGAAGTTTGGCGACGCGTGTTGGGGACTGCAGCAGCTGACTTGACAGTTCGGAGTATGTTACCATCAAACTGAAAAGAAAAGTTTAAAAATTCTCCCCCGGCTTTCCGCCTACGGTACAGCGATTGACGTCGACAAAGAACTTTCGCTTATTTTGAACAAAAGTTTACAAGAGCATCTGTTGGACGAGAACCTTTCATCGTAAGATTGCAAATAGAAATTTCTGTTAAAAAGAAATGGATTGGATGTGCTTTGTAAGAGAAAGGGGCGATATTTGTTGAAGATGTTAACACTTAACTCGGCTTTATGTTACACAAAAAAAGCAATAGTGTCGGGAGAACGAAGTAACTAACAGTCCCAAAGACTTGCAGTGGTATTTAAATTGAGGTGCCGAGTGTATTCCAAACCTCTGGAACTCTGATACTCCGCTGAGCTTTCCCAGCCAACCGCCATATGGCTGCGGTACCAGAAAAATTAATACCAGTTGGAAATTCACTCTCCTAAAGCTAGAAAAGGTACTGTATTAATCTCCGCATTAAAGCACAAGTTGTATAATAGTATTTCATTTTAATTAAATCGAAAAAAGGCATACTTGTACCGCAAAAACAAAATAATCAGTTTTTATTAGATAATGGCGTTTCGCCAGGAGCGTGTGTTAAAAAGATTTTAAGCAGTGAGCCGTGCCAGCTCCGCGTAAAAAAATGTGAGCTTGTAATTATGAATTGAGTTCATTAAAATAATAGTAGAACACACTTTGTTGCGGTAATTTAAAATAATTACGTAACCCCCTGTATAGATCTGCAATGTCAAGATTTAAATTCAAATTAATTCTTAGTAAAGAATCAGGGAAAATTAATTTAAAAACAGGCTTCCGCAGAAAACAACGGAGCTACAATCGTTAAATGTAATAATTACAATTCGATTGTATCGAAAACCAGTATATAGTCAAACGTTAGGAGTCGACTAAAAAAAAATAAATACCTTTGAAATTCGGGTCGCAACCTTGTGAGCTCAAAAGGGCTCGTTCAGCCTAATCTGTAACAGTCGACATCACAAACAAACAAATAAAAGGGGTAGTGAATAGCGCGGCACATAAAATATTGCGTAAAAAATTATCACATCGGCACCGAGGCAAACCGTAATTAATATAAGAATCAATAAATCCTTATCATCACAGCATCTGCCTAAAAGCGTAAACTACTTTATGAAACACAAATGAGCAATCTAACCAATTCAGGTAAAATGAACAAATTCTTGCGTGGACGAGGTAACAGCCTAAAAGTTCAAAAATGCAATCAATCATTTTTGCTTTAAAACTCAGTTATTTGTGGGAATATCCACAACGTAGAGAGCATAAAAGTTATGTAAAAAGGGGGGGAATTTATATTTTCCATAGCCTGCTTGGTTTTTAAGATACCTCATCAAAGTTTATTTTTTCAAAAATATTTTTGCACAAATAAATTCCAGATTTTTGTCTGATTAGAAAAATACATAGTTTGAGATGAAAAAAATTTTGAAAAATAGGGAAAACCGTTATTCAGTCTTGAAAATGTGGATTAAATACAAGTGGTCCGTGGAATCTACAGGGATATTCACGTAGCCCGTTCGTTAAGTTTTTAAAATTCCAGGAACATATTCCGTGGAAGAAAGAATCAATGTTCCTTTCAACCGTCATGAGATCTTCGTATACTGGCGGGGAGGGGGTATTCTATGTCTCCCCCACATACTTGCCCATAGAGACCACCCATGATAAATTTTCTCTGAAAACTTTCAGACCTAAGGGACTTTTCCAAAAGGAACCAACAAATCTCCCTCTCCTGACGACCCCATAGGCATCTGGTAGTTTTCAAAAATGGTGGCATATGTGCTAAAGGTACTAAGGGTCAGTTGCACCATCAGTAGTCGAACTTAAAATCTATGGCAACGATTATTAAGACAATGCTATGCTTAAATTTAAGCGATCCTTTAAGTTTGATGGTGAAATTGGCCATAAACGTTTTAGTGAAAAATGTAGAACCTGGAGGTTAACAGTAAAGGAAGGTTTAATGGCCCTTTCCTGAAAGCTGCCATGAACGTGGTGGAGGATCTAAAGATCTTTGACAAAACGTATTGCCAAAGGGTCTGCAATAACTCACTCTTTTGCAACAGGGGTAAATTTTGGGCTAGAAAAATAATCATTTTAATATTATTATTTTACTTTTTACGGTGAAGTTAGTTTTTCTCTCCCAAAATGTATCCACGGCTGCCTCAATTTTACTACAGTTTACTCAAGAAAATACGCCTATTTCTTTAAAATCAACTGAACTGAAAGGGTTAAATTGTCGCTTCTTCTAGGGATTTGTTGCAAATAAATACGAATCTCTTGAAGATTTAGATATTGTTATGTAAACTACAGGGGGTGTCGTTTCTCTACGTTGAAATAATGCCGAAGGTGAGAGCGAGTTAATGTAATTTCGGTTTAGGTAATGGCAATTATAGCAGTCGGGACATCCTGTATGTAAAATTATTGAAGTTTGTTTCATGGGATCTGGGTAATTTTTTTTTTGCGTCGACTATTAGGAAAAAGGTTATGAATTGTCATTTTAAATTTAGATAGTTAATTTAAAGTTAGATTGTAATTGTTTAATGAATTTAATGCTATTTTTTGTTTAAAACGCATAAATAAGACAATATGTATCTAAAACTTACTCATAATGTTAAAGTTTAATCCGGTCAGGTGTTTGTTAAAAAAAGGTTTTATCGAAAAAGCGATAACAAGACCATGTGCGAGTTAAGCAACGCATGTGTTTATCAATATGGGCGCTGGAGCAGTGTTACGAGTATCGCCGGGAAACTACGATATGAAATTGATGATTGCGGGTGGTCTCTCCTTTAAATAACCTAACAATTCTCCCGAAGCCTCGTGATATCATTCTGAGTCACCCTGATTTGGTTGTATTGGACACGTAAAACCCATTAAGATTACTTTATCGCTTGTTAACGACCGTCCGACTGTCGCGAGTAACTTTCCTGAACCAATACCAACTCATGACGCGCACGAAAACAAGTAAGTCATAAAATATAGATCGCCAAATTCATCCGGAGACTTTTGAAACATAACAATATTTTTGGATGATAATAATAATAATACCCAGTACCTCAAAAAAAACGCGCAACCCTAACGAAATTCCACTCTACAAGACTGTACATGTGGTTTGGAGGGTCTGAATGATACAATAAGGAAGATGGGCAAAGTGATTGACGACTCAAGGAAAGTTTAGGAGCGAAGACTGCTATGGTGTGGACATGTAATGAAAAGGGAAGAGAGCTTTGTTGGGTGCAGGATAATCAAAATGCAAGTGGAGAGGAGAGACGGAGAGAAAGACCAAGAAGAAGAGAGAAAAACTGTCTCTTGGCGCACTTGAAAGAGAAGGGGTGTAGAGGAAGAGAGCCATCGGGAACAGCGAACCATCCCGAACTTCTATTTTTATCTTATCTATAGCAGGCAAGTGAAACGCATTTTAGAGCCCTGTAGTCATCATTAAACCTACTGGCGCTCACTTTCAAATAAAGTGGTACATATGCAATTTTACCCATACATAAAAATCAAAAAACATAAACTGCAAAACGGGTTCAAGTTACAGTACCCCCTTCTGTTTTTAAAAGGGCTAAACTTAATGAAATTTGAAAAACAATAAACTAAAAAACCGGAGGCATATGCAACCTTTGTAATCATGAATGTCTTCGCAATACTAGAAATCTAAGGAACCTTACCCATCTCAGAAATTTTTAAAATCTTAGTGATCTTAAAAATATTTCTAGGATAACTTACGAAGAGCATGTTCATAGTAAGATTCATAAGAATACTGTAAAAAGCGTAAGAACCTTTTCAATATCTTGAAGCTTGGAAATCTTTAAGAATCTTGCGAATCCTGTAAAATTTTAAGAAAATTATAGGAATCTTAGTAATCTTATTGACATCAGCGATCTTAAAAATCTCAGTGATTTAGTCTCGGAAAGATGTGAGAGGGATTTGAGGTGAGATGAATCCGAAACCGAATGTGCGTCCCATCCGACAAAAAGGAGATTTCCTCGAGAAAACTATAAAAAACCATAATAAAGTGAACATATTTCAGATAGTGTTCTATAAGAGCCTTAAAGACTCCCCAGATTTTTCGGATGTAGTGAATGGCCCCGATTCCTCAGATTATTTGAATTT